TGCTTTCAGCAAGGATCTATTTAGGTGGATATTCAATCTTCTTAACTACCATTAATTGTTCTCTCACAAATGATCTCTCAGGACCATCCTCATTTTCATCCATAAGCCAGTATAATACTGGTTGACTTTTTTGTATTAGTGATTTCTTAATATGATAAACTTTGGGAGACCAATTCATATCAGTTATGCGTCTCTTGCCAAATTCTAATTCTCCGGGTTCAAGTAAATATAAAACAGAATCTTTATAGCTTAATCGAGGTTTATTAAATCCAATAGATCTTTGATGTTTTACAGATGGATCAGCAATTATTTTTTCATCTTTTAATGCCCCCTTTACAGCTTCATTAGGTGACATATGAATTAATCGAGTGGGAGTATCATTATAAATGTCATCATTAATACGAAGGCCTTTAACCCAAGATCGACATCTCTCAGTTAATGGTAAATGAAAATCAACAGCATCTTGACGAATATAGGCATGTTTCTCAAATTCTTGGTGATCACGTTCAGCTATTGATGTGCTACATTTAGATTTAGCTTGTATAATTTTTACACCATGACTAAGTAATAAATCTCTACATTCGCCTAAGTATTCAGTGCCTTTATCTACAATTAAAACTTTTGGCCATGTAAGATGATTATTAGGATCACCATAAATTGCTTTAAACATTTTAGCTAATGATGCAAAAGACTTATTAGTTAAAGCACAACTTTTACAAAATCTAGTTACCACATCTTTTACAACATCTCTATGTTTGAAAATTTGATTACTAATTTTATCGAAAGAAAGAGGAGTAAGATCTGATTTATGTATTTCATTTAAATCTCGTATACTATTAAAAGAAGCATATTGAATAAATTTAGACTTGGGTTTATGAACTAAAAAAGTGATCTGTTTATTTAGCCAATTTTTTATATCTGTTAACAAAAAATTATAACCAGCTATATGCGATGCATTATGTATTTTTTCAATAGTTTGATAGTGCCCTTCAGGTCTATAATATAATTTCTGTAAAGCAATTTCATGATCAAGATCATAAGCTCTTTGTGAGTTGATATAAATTACAGGTGAATCAGAGATTCGAAACTTTATTTTTTCAAGCATAACTTTTATTATTATAGTAAATAAAAAATATGGATGAATTATTGCAGAGCAAGGACCTAAAGGATCTAAGCCAAGCTAATCAAGAACTTCACGATGAAATCGATCGATTGGCTCAATCAAACAGAGACTATGAACACTGAACATATAATCTTGAATGGGATATAGTTTTACGTGAGGAAAAAACTCGATATCTTGAAGAGGAATTAGCAAATACAATCAAACTTTCAATATAAGAAAGGAAGGAATTGGAAAAAGAGATATCAGACCTAAAAAAATTGTCTATTATCTTAAAAAGAAGATCGAACAAAAAGATAAGGAGCTTATTATCAGAGAAAATCAATTAGCTGAATTTGACATAAGAAAAAAAAAACTCAAAACCCGAATTTGAGAAATATCAAAATCTGCAGGTAATACTCATAAAGCATATACCCAAATAGCAAAGTTAATAGATGAGAATGAATGTCTCAAACGTGAAATTGATACTTTAAAATATAATCTTAGAGATTGAGATAATAAATTAGCTCAGAAAAAAACTCGTATTACAGATTTATATTGTCAAAACTTTGCATTAATATTATTAAGATACCAAGATAGAGTAGAACTTATAAATACTCAAGAAACTTTGCAAAATGCTCAGATATGGAATATAGAAAATAAATATGAATCAGATGAAAATTCTCAAGATAATTATACATCTGATCCAGATATAGCAACAATAGCTGAGTTAGCCGATACTATTGATGGTTATTTGGATAATCCAGAAACAAATAGAATAATTTTATCTAATCAAATAAAAAGAGTAACACAACAGATACATCACAAATATAACAATCTTCAAACAGATCTTATAAATAAGCAACAGCGAAGATATAATGCAGAAGCAGAATGAGATATATGTCAAACAGAGTTAACACAAACTCAAGGAGATCTCAACTTAATAACTACAGCATATAATAATGAAAGAGTTGTATGCCAGCAGTATTTTTTAGAATTACAACAATGTCGTATCAGAATAGATACATTGGAAAATGATTTACATTTATGTGATATACAACTTGATATTAAATAGAAAAAGTAGAAAAATAGAACTCGAAATGCTGAGCAATTAATTTTAAATTTATGGGGACAAATTTTATTACTACAGAATAATCCACTATTAAACATGACAGAAGTAAGACGTTTACCAGTATTAAAATTAATGGCACCTGCTTTAGCAAAATTTCAGCCTTACATAGGTCAAGAACCGTCTGATGAATACTTGGATAAGGTTATTCAGTCATGGGCATATCTTGAAGGACATATGTTAGTTCTTGAAAATGCAAATGCAGGGAATTTTAATGATACAGTCAAGTGTAATATTTTAAAATCTATGATGGGTGAAAAATATGCTCTAGTACTAGTAAATAATAATCTTGTAGTGGGAAATCCGGCTATAAATTCTCCAGATACATTACGAGGTTAGTTAAGAGCAAAATACTAGCGGGAAACTATTGGAAATCAATAATCAGCTATTCAAAGATTGACTCAGGAAAAATATCAGCCCTATGATACTCCAGATACCTATGAAGCTAGAATTTGACCATTATTATTAGGAGTAGCAGACAATGATGCACAAGTTTTAGGATTCCTAAAAAGCTATTTGACAGGTGATTTTTATACTTGGATGAGAATTGCTAATCCAGCAGGTATTAATATATTTTTCACCGAACTAAAAAACATGTAGCTGGAGCGCGCACCAAATTTGAATAGTCAAGTTTCTCAACAATCTTCCTATAATACCAAAATAATAGAAGCTCCTATAATTCTACAATCAGTATTTCCTATACCTGATACACAAAAAATGATTGATGAGGCATTAGCGAAATAAAAATCCAATTATGATGCTGAGATAGAAAAATTGAGAAAGGAAGTTCAATCATCAAAAGCACAGAAAACACAGACACCAGTTCCACAAACTATTGAAATGGTTAGACAGCCAAGAGGCCCCCCATCAAATTTAAAAACAGAAGAAGATTATAAAAATTATTATGTAGTGAAATACTTAAATGATTTAGATATATATAGTAATGAAGATTTAGATTCACATTATCCTAAAAAACCTTTTCAAAAAACAAACCAATCCGCTAGAATAGATAGAATAGAATCAAAAGTAGACAAAATTGGACAAATGACATCTTAATTTGGAAAAATGGTACTTGAAAATCAATCCAAAAAAACAGTAGCCAAATCAAATTGAACACAATGATATTATCCCTTTCAACCAATAAATTCTAGCATTTCAGCTAATGAGAAAGGTAATAAGAGTGGATATAATGAAGAAGATAATATATGGTATGACAATAATTCTGACATGAACCAATCTTCGAATGAAAAAAAAAATGGATATTATCACTAATAGATAAGACATCACAACCAGAGGCTGGCTCATGTAAATCTTTGAGTAAAGAACCTAGGGGTGAGATCCCATTGCTTTGCAATAAACTTTTTCCAGAATCAGATGACCAATTATTTCAATTATTATCTCCAGTATTACGAGAAAAAATTATCAATCCATTAACAAAAAATAAATGGGTTGAATCTCTTGAATATATGTAATGTAAAATAGAAGATATAGATATTCCAGATGCATTTTCAGATACTGCATCTGAATATATTCTTATGAACAAAGCATTAAATAATGCATTAGGGTGGGATCTTGGAATTGCACCAAATTTTATTCTTACTCATAATTCAGATCATAAAACAAAATTAATTGGTGGTCATAAGGATGTGCCAATATCAGTAAAACATAAAAATAGATGGGTTATAGTAACGGTAAATATTGTAGTTATTGATGATAAAGAAACAGATTATCTTTTTTGTTTAGGAATGCTATTTATCTGAAAAGTTAAAGGAATTCCAGATTCTGATAAATATAAATTCTGAATGACAGTTTGTGGAAAATCTTACATTATCCCAACTTTTATTAAATCAAATAAAGATATTAACGAGGATCAGTCAAAAGCACTAAAAAAAAATACATAAATTATGAAAATATGACTATCCATATAAAGGAACTTGAAAAAGCACTATTTACTAGTGTTCAAATCAATTCAGAATTTATTGGATATTATAATGATTTGCGTAATTATTATAAAGAAGAAATCGATTCTATACTTTCGAATTAAGAGTAGATAGTTTAAAAATATTAGCACACGTAACTGCTCTACTTTTTTTAGCATCTTTTTGTGTTCTTTTAAAGAGTTCCAAAGGATCTTCAGTTTTTTGAGAAATTTCAGACAGGATAGTTTCTTTTTTTGTTTCTAATATTTTATTCATCTTATCGAATGAATCTTTACTAATGAAAAATTGATCAGAATTATGAATAAGCTTGGACTTGGATTTTATATTTTTAGCAACTTTAGTACTTGCTTCATTAATCAATATTTCTATGGCTAAAAGTTTCTTGTTATGAGAATCAGAAGGTGGAGAATCGTCCCAATTATCAAGATCCTATTGAAGATACTCTTTATGTTCCCATATTTCATAAACACGATAAGCATCAATATGAAATTTTTTTGCCATTCTCTTTGATGTATTTGGTACTTTCTCTCGTGATTCTTTAATTTCTTTAATATCAGATTCGGATAATTGAGTTGTATTGAATCGATAAAATTTTTGTTAAATATAAGTAATCATCTTAAGATTGATATATATTGTATATTAGAAAAAGTATTAATATTTTTTCAAAATGTATTGATATGCATTAATTCTAATATTATACATATTGATGAGTATTAATAAGTATTGATAAGTATCGATAAGTATTGATACATATTGTTTCTTTTTTTTAAAAATAGGAATTAGTAAATATCAATACATATTGAATTAAATAATTATGACCAATGTATGTACAATGCAAGATATTAACTCATCAAAAGGATATCGACTTGGAAGTACTAGGGAAGTAAAACTTAAAGAAACTTTACGTGATAGTTATATAACTAATTCCGAACTTATTGAGGATTTTAAAAACTACCAGAAGATATATTCAGAGTTTAGTAAAAATATTAAACAGGATAAATCACAATTACAACTTGATCTAAATCAAACTAATAAAGATAAAGAGAAACTTTCTAAGCATATTTATCAGCTTATAGATGAGGTTAAGTGATTGAGCTCAGAATTAGATACTTTAACATCTCAAATTAATCAATTACGGATTTTCAATACTGAATATGGAGCCAAGAATATCATTCGATTGAAAAAAATAAAATCACTTCAGTCAATGAACAAAATATTAAATAGTAAGTTAGCGTCAGCTCAGAAGGATGCATTCTCAATTCAGAAAGAGATAGTAAAAAAAGAATCTGAGATCATATCTCTCAAGTCTGAATTAATGAATATAAAGAATGAACTAATGAATACAAAAGATGAATTAGCTTCAAAAATTAAAAAAATTGAGTATTTAGATGCTTTACGCTTTGTTTCACAGAAAATAAAGAATATATTAGATCCTGTAGAGTCAAAGACTTATTGCTCTGTAATAGTTATGGGAGATGAGAAAAAAAATATGCAAAGTGAGGAACAAAGTTTCATATCGAATTCTAGAGATACATCTGAATCTAGACCCGAAGGGTCATTGCTTTGCAGGTCCTTTAAGGGTGACTTTTCGAGTCATAAAAGTCTTGCAAAATATTTTAAAAGTAAAACATTACCAATTATCACAAATAATCAGAATTTGGAGTTATTGATTCAAGATATTACAAATAAGCAGAATCTGGAGTTATTGATTTAAGATATTACAAATAAGCAGAATTCGGAGTCATTGATTCAAGATATTATAATAAAAGAGACAGTATGCGCTGGCGAGGCTTTAGTTAATGATAAGTATCAGATTCCTCCTTTTATTAAAATTATCATTATTGTAATAATAATGATATTAATTATTTGGTATATATATAGGAATATTTTTCATCCACTCCCACCTTCTTGTTCTTTGAACTCGAAGCCAGATTATAGCCACCATATAACCATCTCCGACAATTTGTTTTCTGGAATATACTCACAGAGTGAGAGTACTAATGTGCCTAAACCGACCATGAACGAACAAAGTGAAGTGAATTATCAGGAGAAAGAAATTTTTTATTCAGTTTATAGAAATTATAGATATGGATTCCCAGGAAACAGTGCTTCAAGTTCCCAACTCATCTGATATACAAAAAAATCAAAAGAAAGAACTATTGCAGAACAAGTCCGAAGGGCAAACCAAGGATTATGGCTCATTGAGCTTATTTTTAAAGAAAATGAGTTTCACTCTATCACCTATAAAACTTTATCTTATGGATATAGATGAAGCTAATAAACATGAATCAATTTGAAATGTTGGACATCCAGCAATGTCATGACCTTTCAGTAAGGTAGTTAGTGGTAAGAGTGGTACGGGTAAAACTAATATACTTGGAAATATTTTTGTTGGTGACAAAAATGAATGTATATATAAAAAGAAAAAGGGTGGATCCCGCTATATACGATGTGATGATTTGATAGTTTGTGGATACCACCCAGATAAACCTAAATAGGCATTTGTTAGATATATATATAGTGTAATCATAAGTGATCCAAAAGCACCATACTACAAAAATATTAGATTTAAATATATCTCACCTGAAAAAATTCCTAGCGTAAAATCATTTTCTCCAGAGAGAAGTACTGTAATTATTTTTGAGGATTTATGTGTCGCTCCAGAAATAATACAAAATCGAATTATTCCATTCTTTACACATGAATGTCATCGTAATATAAGTCCAATATATATAATGCAAAAATATCATCATGTCCCGGTAATTATTCGTGAGAATTTATCCCATCTAGTAATATTTAATGGGGGCAGTAATTATCAAGATGTGTCCAAAATAATTGGATGATATACTGATGATGTTAAGAATGCATCAATAGTTATTAATAGTTACCTTCGAAAAAATGAATTTATTATATTTGATCTTACTAAGTCAGAGGATGATCCTCTAGCAATTCGTTTAAGGTTTGACACTCCATTAAATTTACAGAAAGAGATAGAATTGCATCAAAAAAATAAAAAGCAAATTAACTGATACATAGGGAAAATGTATAAAAATTCATGTGATTAAAATTTGTGAGATCTATTTCTGGTGTGTGGATCTACATTTGGGATAATCATTGTATAATCTATTTCGGATGTATTATAACTTGAAGAGTCACCCTTACGGATCTGCAGAGCAATGATGTTTTACTTCTACAAGTATATAGTTTAATTTTTCAGTACTATATCCATCATACATCAATCAACAAGATATCAACCATAATACTATATGGGGAAGTAAACAGCATAAATCATTTTCTGCAATTGCTCTATATCACATGTATAAATTATAATTGGCATGGCTAAAAATATATTGGAAAATTAGGCATATTTATACGGTAATACTAACAAAATTTATTACAGAGAATGTGAACCAAGTTCATAATATCACGTGACCACCACAGTAAATGTTTATTTTGCAAATTTACTTCAGCTCGGAATTGCTCAATATTTACAGGTAATCGTCAGTCTTTTTTTCTCATATATTTGAAAAAAATTATATAGCTATCCTGCATATATAGCATAATCATCTGACTTCAAGCAAAAATTGGCATTAATTTCACAAAATAGTGAATTAACTTAGTCTCTTGTGATAATTCATATCTCATAATAATGATCCTAATGAAAACATCCCTTATTACCACACATACAATTAATTATCAGAAAAAGAATGGCGTAATACAGATAATCGATCAGACATTACTCTGTAATACATATCACATACTATACTACAGAAGGTTATGGAACTTTGCATGTATGATGTAATTATATAATCTGCTGATTATAGAAAGCATAATAATAATTGTGTGACCTGCTAATTGCATTCATCTGGAAAATTTTCTGCTGAAAAGTAGCATAGTAGACAAATCCTAATTTGGCAATAATCATTAGTGGCTTAGTTAATTTAATAAAAAAATTTTTTTTTACTTTTTATACAGTTTAAAGTATTCCATACTCCCGTGATTTTTTGAAATCTACCAAATAAATCTATTCAAAAAAGAAAACTAGCAAGAGTTCTTCACATAACCCATCTTCTGTTAAAATTAATCCAAAATAATCTCATGATTTAAAAAGTTTTATTAAAGACAGGTTTTATAGGTAACCTATAAGAAATGGAAGGTAGTTCAGCTTACGATTCAAGCAAATATTGCGTTGTAAAAATTTGTAAAGGCACTCTAACGGAAAAGTGGAAAAAAATAACTGAAAATATATTAATCAAGGCAGAAGCAAATGGAACTCTAGCCTCATACTACAGAGATCTTAAGGATGAGTATATGTGTATGAGTTGTTATAATGCGATCATAATGAATGAAGCAAGTTCTTTCAAAGAACATGTTACAAATTGGGAGAAAGGGTTAAAAAGATGTCAAAATAGTCTTTCTATGTGTGATAGTATTTCATTACTAACTAATCTTATTTTTGAGAGAGAAGTAATAGATGGAGAGTCATCTGTCATTTCATTTTCCCAACTTAGGTCAATTGCTAAAAATAAGAATAATGAATTGAGTTTCTTTTTTGATCAAATTGAAGAAATGACGTGTTTAGAAAGAAAAACTGAAGCTAAAAAAAGAAAACTTGAGCGGTCATTGGTGTATCAATGCTATTTGATGTGTTGAAATCAAGACAAGATCATACCACTTTGGAGTTTAAAAGATAAATCAGAAATGGATGGTGATTATTTTTCATGGGTCAATGAGGTTAACATCTTAATTAAACTTCTATACGATCGAGAAAAAGTTGAACAAAAGCCAGCTATTTATAGTTTCAAGCAATTGCGTGAAGAGATGGAGGCTAAAGATATAAGACTAAGTAGTTTTTTTAATTCGATTTATAATGCAACTTTTCCAGATAAAAAAAGTGAAAAATATTTAGAAAAACTTGATAAAAAATTAGCTATAGAATGTTATATTATTTGTGGAAATCAGAATTCTAAGCTAATAATATTTAAAGAAGATATTTCTTTTTTTTTAAATTTGATGGGGATTTCCGCAGAAGCTTTAGATGCTTTATTACGTGCAGGTATAACGATTTCACGAAGGCATCTGGATAGAAAAAAGACAGAAATCACGGATAACCATTCATTCATAGTTGAGTCATATGTAGAGAATAATAAATACAAGACTTTAATATTGAATGTTGATGATTACCATAACATTCATTCCAAGTGAACTCCCGATATGTGTTCAATATCAAACATGACACATATGATGATCTTGGTGTTAAATCATATTGACATGACAGCTATTTTACGCACACTAAATGGTGCATCAGTCCACAATCCAAAACTAATCGATTCTGAACTTATTTGTAATATTTTAGATTATTATTTTATGAAACAAATGGCGAAAACTTTTAATGATCAGTTTTATTACGAAATATCCATGGATGAAAAACTTGAAAATTTGACTCTTCATAGCTATGATACTCGCATACAAGAATGACAAGAAGAATATAGAATAAAAGACACGATTCTCTTGGACTTTTTTGAATTAAAACTTGGAGATGTGAATTCGTATATTAATACTTTACAACATATTTATGAAATTCCTTTATTAAATAATTATTTAACTAACAGTGTTATTTCAATAATAGCTAATTGGCCTGGGCAAGTGTTTATACATCAGATTATCACACTTTACTTGCAAAATCATAGGGGTATAAATATATCAGATGATATATTATCATTTATACCGGTTATCGGCATTCTTCACATACAGCTGAACCTACTCGAATCGATATTAAAGACCTATTGGAGTTTTTTTAATATCGAATATATATATATTTTCAGTACAGATAGAGAACTTAGCCAAACACCAAGTCCATATCGAACCTTTTTGCTTTTAGAATTAGTTAGAAGTGCATGGAAAGAAATCAAACCAATAGTAATGGGTAAGTTCGGTAAGTATTGTAAAGACTTGGAATATTTATATCTTTTGGATTTATTAGATAATACAGTACTGGTCAGGTTGGATATCTATTCGATTCTATTTTGTTCAGGTGATTGGGAGTCATATGTCGAAGGCGTATTTCGGGCATGGTGCATTTTTTTGTGCTTTGAGAGATGTAATTATAACAAAGCACCTTTAGTATTTCTCTCAGATGTATTTTATTGGAATCAAATTAACCATCCAATATTTAGTGTATTAAAAGATCATCTAGTTAAATTTACAGATTATCCAGTTGAAAATATGCATAGTATAATATGACAACAAACTTCATCTCTCGACACGCCATAACAACTTTCAAAAACGGCTAAAGTCATTAATGCAAAAAAAGCTGATAATACGTTTGAAGATGCTTTCGTCACCCAACACAAATCCACATATGCGAATAAGAATCATTTAGCTTTACTAACAAAGAAAGCTGAAGTATTTCTTCTTGGAATTTTTAAAAAAGTCTATCAGAAATTAGGTCAAAGTTCTATCAAGAATACGAATGGCAAATTTACTTTTCAACTGGCATCACTGAATTTTATCATGAATAAAAAGCAAATGCCATTAGGATTTAGCAGTGAATATTTATCGGTTTACAATGAATGCGATTATTGCCATAAATCATATGATGGAACAGGTAAAAGCTCCATGGTCATTGCGTGTGGTCACGGATACCATGAGAGCTGTTTTATTAATTTTTTAAATAACAAATGTTTTTATTGTGAGAAATTTCTTAAACTTGGAGTACATAATAACGTTTCTTCTCTCCTTACACGATTAAGCAAGCTAGATAAAAATAAGTCAAAGTTGGTAGAATCCGAATTTCTTGAAGCTGAAGAAGAAAGTAACCAATGAAATCAAATAATATTAGATGAGGATGATTTATTAGAAAGGCTACAAAAAAACAAGGATGCATTACTAATGGCGGAGCAAGCTTATTTCATAGTTCGTGATAGATTTTTAAATCTGTAAATGCAAGAATTGTAAATATATATTCGTAGTATAAATATTTTTAAATTAAAAAATAAAGTGCTTAAAAAAATCTTTGCCGAATTGATTATATATAATAAATTGTTTAAAAAATTTATAAATTTAATAAAATTCATTACAAACCCGATACAAACAGAAACTTTACAATTTACAGATCATGAGTGCAAGATCATCGCAATTGGGAAAAGTAACGTCAGTTTAGCAACAGTAAGTTATGACAACCTGCCACGCACTTGTGATAATTGAATAGTATAAAAAAACTAACGATAATATGAATAGTTCTGACTGGTCACGCGATCATGTGCATAAAAATCTCGCATTTTTATTGGATGAATCGGTACTGAGTCAGAACTGAGTCAGGTTTTCCAATTTTGGAAGGTTTGTACTACGAGGATTGTCCACTATGCTCCGAAAAGTAATGTGATCCCTCCCATGGCCCTCAGTAAGTTCCATTATCCACACCATTGATATTGCTCCATAAATCATTGAAGTACATTAATATTACACATATTATCAGTTATATATATCATAGCCTTATTATTATCTATATATTAATATTTTATCATCTTTATTATTATACATACATATCCCCTTTATTTTACCTGGCTCTTATAGCCAAGCTCTTTATTGTACCTCTATATGCTTTGCATGTATGTTAAAACTAGCTTTAGCGGTATATCCGTAGTTAGGCAATAAAGTTCTAAATTATAAAAAAAAGAAAAGTAATGTGATACTCGCATTTTGCAACCGATCAAAATTTTCACATATACTGATTCCCCAATTATTCGTTTAAAAAAATTTTTTTTCCGGACTAACACTCGCACAACACAAATTTTCGTATATAAAGCAGTATACCTACCATGTCTACTTCCACAACCGAACTTGATGCATATTTAGTCGAAAACTGGGATACCGAGTCTCTTGTCGTTTACCTGCAACAGCAGGACCTAAAGCTTAATGATAAGCACTTCGATGTCCTCCGCAATAGGGAGATCGATGGCCAGGTCTTTCTTGATATGAGTAAGGATGATTTCATGCAGGCAGGATTGGAAATGGGACCGGCTATGAAACTCGCAAAAGAGGTCAAGGCACTCAAGGACAACACGAAAAGGGCATACTCGTCATATCGTACTTTGAAAGATTTTAAAGC